TGAGAAGGGGGATGTTGCCAAGCCCACAGATGACAGCAGTAATGATCAGAGGTTAAATCCCAAGACTCCCAGACTCTAAGTATAGCATTCTGGATGCACTGCAGGATTTGAGGAGCAGTGTGACAGACAACTGAGGCGTGTGCACACACACAGACATACACACACAAAGAGGCTTCCCCTTCCCCTCTATAGGAATTTGGTCCAACCTCCCCAAGTCCCATGAAAAGCTGTAGAAGGTTCCTATCAGTTTCAGGAGCATGAGGTGAGGCTTCTACTGAAGATGCTCAGTTTGACTGTGTTCTTCCTTTCTACCTGGTTAAAAAGGGACAACCATATAGTCCATGGAACAATATAGTCCATGCAATGCTACAATAACTCTGCCTTTTGTACCAGCAGTCCAGTCTAAGACCAATCCCAGCTAAACAACATGGTATATTAGACCAGAGTTACTACCAGGCCTGATCAAAGGTGACCCTATTAATGATCCTGATCAAAGACAGATCATAAGAAGGGCTACTGCATTCTGATGAGGGATGCCTTTGAACTCCAGTAGCACTGCAAATGACTGCAGGAAGGGAATTTAAGCTCCTAACTAGTCCCCAGGCTTGCCAAGTGCCAAAGAAAACACAGCTGGGATGGATCCTCTGTGGCTGTAGATCAGTACTGACCTCATGGAATCACGCTTGTTTAGAGACAGCAGGGGTAATATTTGCATGCTGAATTTTTATCCTGGAACCATAATCCATTTTCAAACACCTAAAAATCCCCTCCCAAATTAACCTAGTCACCTCTGGTGCTGTAAATAGTAATGGAGATATCATGCTTTTCCCTGCAGGACTCTATGCTCTCATGGTGCTGAGTTCCTTCCTGCCTACAACTGCCCTGATCGCTACTGTTATATTCCTCATCACCATGCACATCAGAAGGAAAACTGCAAGTAAAGCTCCCTAATCCTCTTGTCTATTTTTCCTGCCCTTACAGCTTGTTGTCCCACCACCCTGAATGTAAAGAAGGTCTGTTCATAGCAATCATTGCCCAGAGAGGCAAAAACTTTGCTAGTTGCAAAATCACTCTAAATATTTAGTGTGTTAACTGTTGCTGCACCTTTCTACCCAGTCCCTTAAATCTGAGGAAGTAATATTTTGTGTAAGACAAGTTTTCTAAACTTCTCTAAGTACACACTCCCTTTTCCCATGCATCCCCTCCCCTTTTCCTCAGTTTCATGATGCGAGGAGAAAATATTTCTGTTTGTAGATGAACCAAGGCTAATATTCAGAAGCAAAAAGATGCTACATTTCTTTTTAACTTCTAATTCTTTGTGGTTTCTCAGAAGGATGGAAGAAACAAAGCAAGCAGAATATCAGCTGGGGAACTGATTGACAGTACAATATATGCTGTCATAAGGCACCAACCTCAGCCAAAGCCTGAAGGTGTTACACATGTCAACATACGGCCGTCAGCAAAAGTTTTCTTCCACGTTCAAGAACACCAGGTAATTCAGTTCCCTCATGTCCTGTGGAATACAGTCCTGTTATCTTCAGAGCCACAACTCCACATTCTGGAACTGAAGAGAGAAAACCAGACCCACCTAAACAGAGCAGCGCAGAGCCTTGGGCTTGTACACAGAATTTTGATGAACTGCACGTAGAAACCATCCATTTGTAACCAGTGGTTTAAACTGGGTGCGAGGCAGAAAGCAACTGAAAGGATGAGCAAACACACGGATGCACAAACCTTCTCTGAAAACAACTGCACTTTTCTAAGAGAACAACATCACAACTCAGCTACTGGTGAGCAAATCTAGTGGAAGGTTATGGTGTATTTGCTTTTTTCTAAATTGCTCTGTTTTTAAACGACATGCAACTAGAAACCCAAATACAGGAAACTGGTTGTCTCTTGTAACAACTGATACCGTGCCACAGTCAACAAAGGGCTGTGAGATATGGGAACACGAGGCTTCCTTTCAAACTTTCAACTTCAAACTTTCAACTTTCAAACTTTTAAACTGAAAGAGGGGAGGTTTAGATGAGATATTAGGAAGAAGTTTTTCACTGTGAGGGTGGTCAGACACTGGAACAGGTTGCCCAGAGAAGCTGTGGCTGCTCCTCCCTGGAAGTGTTGAAGGCCAGGCTGGATGAGGCTTTGAGCAACCTGGTCTAGTGGAAGGTGTCCCTGCTGCTGGCAGGGGGGTTGGAACGGGATGAGCTTTGAGGCCCCTTCCAATCCAAACCATTCTATGATTCTATGAACTTCAACAGCTCATTTAAACATTCACATATAAAATGTTAATTATTGCCCACTCTGATATGGTCCAAGTCAGCAAAGTGGTAAAGAATTTGCTTTATTTTAATCATATGAGTTGTTTCATGGACTTCAGAGAGACAAGTTGACATGTTGTAGTAAACAAAGGTCTTGCTGAAAAAACATATTTGTCTACATTATAGTATAAAATGTCTTCAGCTTGAACATACAGGTGCTGAATTTACACCCAAAGCTATTTATTTTTTTAACAAATAACTCTGTATTTCCTTACCTTTAGTGCTTGTTGTGTATTAATGCCACTCTCCCCTGCTACAGTATAAATCCAGCTTGACTTTATTACAAATTACACACATTTTGATCAAACTACTGAATCCTTTTATAACGGTGATATATGCAAACATCCATTAGAGATAATGGATAAATCACAAAATTCATCTGACTGAAATTTTCATCTTAATCCTGTGAGTTGGAGGATGCTGAATATGATACAAAGATGGCTTTAAATTTTTTGTATTAAGATTGCAAGAAGACTCCAAATTAGGTGTTGGGTGGCACAGGAGGAAAGGAACGTGAAATGGCACAGAAGATGTCCATGAATCATATAAACTGCACTTCGCCTGTGAGCGCTTGTACAGCTCTGAGAGGAGGGAGAACAGAGAGGGCAAGTAAAGAAGGAAATTCTGTTGACTGGTCTGATGTGGCTATATGAGAGCAGGCTCTTTGCCATTATATCTGAGATTATTTTGTTCCTCTATTGAAAATTCCCTGAAAATAAAGCTAGAAAAAAAACATAATAACAGCTAAAGAAAACAATTTCTGGCTTCTAAACAGGCTTGATTGCATTCTTCACTTCCTGTCCCAGCTTCCCATTTTCTGTTCTTCATACTGTTATTTCCTTTTTTTTTCTTTTTCTTTTTCCTTTTCCTTTTTTTTTTTTTTTTTTTTTTTTTTTTTTTTTTTTTTTTTTTTTTTTTTTTTTTTTTTTTTTTTTTGTCATCACTGCATTGACCAACTCTGGAAAGAATTAATAACTGACACCCTTGTGCTTTGGGTCATTTTTGAGATGTCAGAACTGTTAGTGTGGGAACCATGCCATTAAGGTCTGAAATGGTACACGATAGGAAAGCTGAATGGCTAAGATAAAAGGCTTCACTATACAAATTTCATTATTTAGCCTGTTTGACTCTTTGAAAGCATCTAAAACTTTGTATGCTCAAATTCCTCATCTGGGCACAATGGCATATATAGAGAAAGTTCTGGGGGTACTAAAGTAATAGAAGTTAAATAATTAGCTTAATAGAGAGGCTTACTCATACACATTTCTTTCTGCCTACAAACTGAAGATGATCTACTATTGTATAATGAATTTGAGGGTGTTTCTAGGGTCAATTTATATGGTTGGCATCAGCCACAAAATGTAAATATGTAACTGTCTGATTTAAAATAAAGACACAATAAATATTCTCAAATCTAAATTTGTAACATCTTACAGGTATTTTCCTTCTGTGCAAATGATGGAGATTTGCTACTAACCTGAACTGTCCACAGTGAAGTGAAGGAAGAATTATCACAGGACCCTGTTTAGATCAGCATGTTTGGTAAAGTTTGGAAAGCATCAGCAACCCACCCAAATCTACTGCTGTTATGCTGAGCTGGAGAACCACATTCAGGAATGGTCTAACTCATGTACGAGCAGCTTCTGGACATCTGGGACATTACAAACCTGGCTGTGTCTTCAGATAAGCCTGACAGAGACACAGTTAGTTAGTGACCTGGTTCTATACTGGCTGTTGAATAGTGGTGTAGATGGGTATCTGGCTAATGTCTCACATGTCCTCCCAGCTTATCTTTCATTTGATGGTAGCAGGAAATAAAATCACAGCATTCTAGGAACTGGGCATATCAGATGGGCAGTGCACAGCTGACAGGATAGAAGAGGACAGGAGGTTTTTTCTAAGACTGAGGCTATTCATCAATACATTCTGTTCCAGTGCCTCTAAGCATGTCCTCTGTCCTTCTACAGGATGTCTAGTTAAAACTCACTCCAAATCTAAACATTCTTTGCAGCCTATGCTGAAATAGTTATTTGTTTCTTCTTTGTCTCACTTCAAAAGCAGTAAACGCCAAGAGGACCGTTTTCATCTCTAATAGGGAGCAAATGAATATCCACATGACTAATGGCCGGGCACCTTCATCTCTTACCTCCTGTTCACTGCAAAGAGCTCTTGCCCTAAGTGCACCATAAGAACAAAACAATGGTATAATAAATTATAAATGATACTCTAGAGATACTGCTACAGTCATCATAGTACTGTGCCATCTAAGTGCTTCCCTGTAGCAGTTTTGCAAATTGGGTAAAATTTGCCATATGCATAAGAAGCCATGGAGATTTCAGCAAAAGGCAGAGATGAAAAGGACCATAGAATCATAGAATGGTTTGGGTTGGAAGGGACCTTAAAGCTCATCCAGTTCCAACCCCCCTGCCAGCAGCAGGGACACCTTCCACTAGACCAGGTTGCTCAAAGCCTCATCCAGCCTGGCCTTCAACACTTCCAGGGAGGGGGCATCTACAACTTCCTTGGGCAACCTGTTCCAGTGTCTGACCACCCTCACAGTGAAAAACTTCTTCCTAATATCTAATCTAAACCTCCCCTCTTTCAGCTTAAACCCATTTCCCCTTGTTTTGTCATTAATTGCCCTTATGAAAAGTCTTTCCCCAGCTTTCTTGTAGCCCCTTCAGGTACTGGAAGGCTGCTATAAGATCTCCCCAGACCATGTTTTATTAGTCACTATGTCAACTGTACAGCTCTGTTCCGTGTCTTGAAAGCCTCACAGAAAGCAAAATGGGAAAGTAAACTGAATTTTAGATATACTGCTTGAGAGCAAAACTATAAAGACCAAAGAGTTTCCTGCTAGACAAAACAAAGCTGGCTCATTCATACCTTTCATCTTCCTCTGGAAGTCACTGAAGCAGCAGAACGTTTCTGGAACAAATGATTGCCTCCAACTCATCCAAATACAAAGAATCAGCAAAGTGTTGTTGCATGAAGAACCTAAAGAAAGAGAAAATCCAGCACTTACCAACATTATTCACTTCACATTAGTAGTACAAAATTTTATTCACTGGGCCCTTGGAACTGCTGTAGCGACTGCTGTTATTTCAAGAACATAACATATAGCTACAAACACCTGTGAAATTCAGTGTATCCCTTCTAAAAGTGTGCCTATCCCAAGAACACAGGGGAAAAAAACCAAACCAAAACAAGCAGAACATCCTGTTTTCTTTCTTTATATGGCTGCTTTCAACCCAAAGAGCTTTGCAAACTGTAAACATACACAGGAACTGTTTCAACAACACTGTAACATACAACTGCTGGATCCCACACGAAGCCTGACTAACAGCGCGGGACCTGCGCCCTGATAAAAATATTTACATTATTGTAGTGAATATTTAAGTTACAATACTGCAGAGACATCCCCAGCAGCGTACCTGGAAGAAACAGCATGCCTGAGAAAGGGATTAGCCAGCAGATATGGAAACTGACTGTCTCTTAAACCTTTCAAAGCCTGCCCAATCCTCTTAAGAGGAAAACTTCCTTTTATGCCAAAACACACAAAAATTAAGCTCTTTCTACGGGTGTCCATTCAGTTGTATTTGGCCAAAAAAAGATAATGATGTGATACTTGGGAATTGAGGGACAAGAAGAAATCACCTTCCTGGAAAGTAGCCGAGAATATAAAGGAATGAATGTCTTTGAACAGCATCTGGGTAACGTGAGGTTGGATTGTCATCTCTTACACTTACACAGCCCAGAACACATTCCAGCGCTGCACCCATAGGACACTCCCTGTGCTCCAGGGCAGCTTCCATATAATCACTGGATTATTCTGCACGATAATTCAGGGATAATTACTCAATGCAATGAATCCTGCAGCAAGCATGCGGAGACTGAAATGTCACCGAGGCACGCTGAGCATTGTGCCAACAGATATCCAGGAGCTGGCTAGCTGTGGAGGGACATGGTGTGACTATGAGGCCTATTTCCCTTAATAATCAGAATGGTGTTTTTTCTTTCCAACAGTATTTGCTGTGCATTCTCTTTCCTCCCAGTCCAGACTCACGGAACATTTTCCCCACACATGAAGGACACACAGAAGCAACGCTGGCCAGCTCGGAGCTGCCTTCCTTCCCTCGCCCAGCTCAGTGAGGCTGTTTCCCAACTCCAGGAGGGTCACAGCAGCTTCCTTGGCCTCAGAGCTGAGGGGGACAAGGCTTCCTCCTGTCCTTCCCACAGCCCTTCCTCACACAGCCCAGCTCCTGCACACACACCACCCTACAGCCGCCATCTTGAGGCACCACCTCAGCCTGTGTGGGAGAACAGCAGGACAAGATGGCGAGCATCTTCA